CAGCTCTACAGGATTGCTGAAGTGCAAAAAGGTTTAACTTCCATATCTTTTACCTTTATTATTTTCAGCTTTTTTTTTCAAGTGGAGGGAGGTCACATGGGGTAAAAATTGTTCTCATAAAAAAGGCAATATATGTCCTTGAATTACAACATAGTACTTCTAGTTCAAGAATGACACATTTGCAAATATTTGTAATGCTAAATATGTACAAGCAGAGAGCAATAGCAAGATGGATAGAAGAGACGGACGAAAACATACAACTTTTCCTGTGCGCTTGATTTATTGAGGGTCCGCGACTCTAACATATCTTCAACATTTTCTTGTTGACGTTGGCTCTAAAAATCCATTGTAAGAGCTATATACATCATAAAAAAATGAAGTGCAGAAAATAATAGAACAGAAAACGCATCACATGTCAGAATATTTTAACAAACCTGAGTGAAAGTGTGGATATTTTTATTTGGGTGCTTCTCCAAAACCTAATTTAAGTTATTAGCTAATTAGTTCCCAGAAAATCACATAAAAAAAGCTCTGAACACATGTGTTATAATTTAAGTCACCTTCATGATGCCATCATGTGTACTAGGAGTATTCATCATCAGCAATGGAATATTGCAACCATATTTTGAGTTAATGGACTGCAAACTCATATCCAGTCAGTTGTCCAAAATTTAAAAATTACAAATCAGCACAACAGACTAAACAATGGGTTGCATAAGAGGGAAATACCTACCTCAATATGATTGACGACCAAATCTAGACAAGTTAACCCGTTACATACTTCAAGTGCAGATCTGTATATCAAAGCAACACTAAATAAAGAAAGATAAAAGCAAGAGCAAGATAATTTATCAAAAGGAACTACAAATCGAATCTGTAATTTAACTGCAGCTGCATGGGTCCTTTATATATTGTTCCAGAAAACATTTTTATGATTGAACTTGAATTCACTCCACAAAAAAGTATTGTCTCTTCTAATACACTAAGAACTGGGTCCTTTATATATCGTTCCAGAAAACATTTTTATGATTGAACTTGAATTCACTCCACAAAAAAGTATTCTCTTCTAATACACTAAGAACTTTAAATCAGTACAGGTCATGAGTAACCTCTGTTAAAAGTAAAAGACATTTCCATTGATAAAGATAAACGGGTGAAAGTCTTCCACCCCCACCTTAACTCGTATTTCTTCTTTTCTTCTAAGGTAAAATAAAAAGGTCAAATGCAATAACGTCAGCAACCAATGCATTTGGTGATATATGAAATGAAGGTTAGAATAGCAAATGTGTACAACAAACAAACCTGTAAGAGATCACGTACGCAAAAACATATAGATAATCAACAGTCCAAGATCCATTTCCCTAAAAGGCTTTTTAACCCTATGGTATTTGCATATAAAATTGCCGAATTAGAGCATTAGACTTCTCTATAGAACAATATTGAGAATCAAGAAAGAGAGCCTTAAATGTTATTACCAGAAGTAATTGCAACTAAAATCTTATAACTGTAGAATGGATTCGTCAGTCTTAATTACTAGTACAACAAACAAATTTGCTTATAGGCTGTGATCACTTAGGAATAATAAAAGGAGGAAAAGATAACTTTTGGACATCAAGTACAGTAAGAGAGGAAAACAAAGTGCTTATTGAGAAATGAGACCAAAGTTGGAGTAGACTGTCATTTCAAAATAAGTGGAAGGTTTTATTTGCAGAACAGTAGTCACCATCCAAATGGAAAGGAAGCTTTTACAATCTATGTGGTACAAAAGTGTCACTTTCTCCTCTAGAAATAATTCGCGAGGAGAATGTAATATAAACCAGTAAGGTTCTTACTTCATTTTCCAACCAGGAAAGCATAAGTTACTGAATTTATGAAAATCTAACAGGCATGAAGTACCTCTAGAATAAACTCAGGCTATCACTGCAGCAGTATCCATAAACATAATAAAACAGAAGCTACTCTAGGTGGTGCAAGTAAAAAGTACCATAAAGTTTAAAAAAAAGCACTCTTAACCAAAAAAGAGAAATAAAAACATTTCTATCTGGAGAGATCATATATTCTACAAAGTATCAGCTTTGAGTAAATAGCAATAATGTTAGAGACAGTATTCTTTTAGTGTTAATTAATCATATATCTCAACTCTCAACTGAATGCTTACTTTGGTCCACTGAAACCCATATCTGATCCCAAATTACCATTTAACTTTAACACGACAAGTTTGTCCAGTAGCTGCTTAGTCTCGGTAGCATCTGCATAAAAAGGAGACCAAGTGATTGTTATATCAAACAGATACACAAATAAAACATGATTAAGTTACATTAATGCCTATGTACCTTTAAAACCATAACTATTTGTAAGGAGGACAAAGAACCAACAAGAATATTTTTTTATAAGAAATAATCAAGAAGAGTATAAGAATCATATACTTACCCTCAGAAGCAGGTTCTAATCTTTCATAAGGCAGAACATAAATTTTATCCTTGCCAACTGTCTTGATCTTGTCAAGTTGTTCAACTTCCTCTCTATAGCCAAATTTCAGGCAGAAAGGGGGGAAATGTCAATAAATCAGTAAATTAAAACTTGAAATACTGCTTGAAATCAATGAAGTTATAATAGAAGCACACAACATTCAGAACTACAACCCTCTATACTATATCTAGATACCAAAACTGTTTTAAATACTTCAGTCGTACATGTATAACAATTCCATAGCTAGTGAGCATGAAGAGACTGTTAGACGAATTTGAATTTCAGATCAGTAAAAATAAGATACACTAGCGGTATTCCAATTAACTAAGCTAATAAGAAACCAATCAATCATCTCTTGTTGCATTAAGGATTTGGACGGAGAACTGTAAACAATTGCATTCTCATTGCTTAATTTCTCTTGGGTGTTATGTTACCAAGGGCTGTGGAAGAAGCATTATGACTTGGAGATTGGAGAAGGTCAAAAATGAAAGGAAGGTTGAATGGAAGACAACACCTCGTCAATACCAACACCCTTTTAGACGAGATTATCGATTAAAAATTTTAACTTACTTTTTCTTGAGAAGGTTCGTTAGATACCTTCTGGTGTTATTCCTAGAAAATTCTAGAACTTTCTTCTTTTTCTTACCTGAATTCTAGAATGTGACCCAGCCTCAAAGCTAACTCCTTTATATTCTTAAAAGACATCTAAAAGCTATGCTACCTTTGAACTATCACAGCAATGTCATAAAGTTGGAGCCAGCCATGTTTTAACATCCAGATCCATCGCTATTACTCATCAACAAAAATAGGTGACCAAACTCTTTTCTCCTAGTTTTCAACGCCATTGTGTCGTCATTCATTATCCACCCGTCAAAATAATGTATCAAATAGGTAAAGTTGAACCCCTCAATTCACCCCCAATCAGCTAGTCTCCTATATACATTTTTACCTCAATGAGTGTGAAATTCATATCTTTATGATATTGTAAAAATGTTAAGTCATTGAGATAGTGACAAATAGACAAACATGTAAAAGTTTCAAGTCATCACACCTAAAAAAATTGATAGTACCTAATTTCAGGCTTTGCAATTGCAGAAGCTCCCATGGCAGCATTCAACCTTCTCTGCTCGTTAAGGAAAGTCTTTGTAATCAAATTACAAAACAAATACACAAATTGCACGGAATCCTTGGCAGGCACAGGATAAGTAATTTTCTTGTAAATATCCAACGGCATACTCGAATCAACAAGACCCACAATCGGAATTTGCAACTTAGCAGCCTCTTGAATCACAGAAGACTTCCTATCCGTATCAAAGATAACCACACAATCAGGTGGCTGTATAGCCGTAAGGTTCAACTTCTTATTCCTTCCTCGAAACTTTCTCGGACTCGAACTGTTTGTCAAAAAGCCTCCAAGACGCCAAGAAGTATCATTCCTACACCCAATCGTTTGCGTCATCTGATCAATAATTTCATCGAAAAGGGTGTTGGTATTGACGAAAATGAAGCGTGCTCTTTGTCGAACGAGTTCCCCAATGAAAGAACAGGCGTTTCGGAGGCAGATCAATTGCTTTTCAGAATCTATGATTGTCATTCCATTCCGGGAGCCTACTGAGTAGATTTTGAAGTGGTGTTCCGCCACACGGCGACCCAAGTGAGCGTTGGTGCTTAGGAGCTTTTGGATTACTACTGAATGGATTGTCATTGTGTGAGAAAATATGAAAATGGGATGTAGCTTGTTGTATAGATCGACAACGGAGGTTGAGGGTTTAAGGGTTTTGAGTTTGAGCACCAAGGGCTGAGGCCTCCGGCCGCTAAAGTCGTCCAATTGTGCTCTCTCAGTTCACTTGTCCCATATATACGAAGTGCATATAAAATTTGGAGGAAAAAATTGAGAAATTTATAATTAATGTCCGCGTTAAAATTGAAAAAATAATTTTCATAAGTAAACATAAAAAAATACATTTGTAATATAATCTACATATTAAAGTGAATGAAGGGAGTATTACACAAGGATGTCAAATATATGAATTCGGTTTAATTTAATTTTTTTAAAACCACATATTAAAGTGAAATATTACAATACAATATATCATGTCGATAAACTTAACTCGCACGAATGAAATATTTTGTCTTGTTCATAAATTATGTCGAGTGGACATAATTTTGGTGTAAATTATTTAATTATTTACGTATTTGAACTGATAATGTACCATCTCCTTGATGCTATTTTTATGTTAGATATCTAGCTAAATTGTTCACAAATTTTGTCTATTGAGGAGTTTACAAAATTTATCCATATTAAATTTAATTGTTCTCTTGATTCCACATATTTAAAAAATAAACTATTAAGTTGTTTTGAGTTATATTATATTTTTAAAAAACATTATTAAGTTATTTTGAGTTATATTTAATTAAAAGATTTACTAGTCTCTTTTCAAGATAAAAGGACTTCCATTTTTCAAATGAAAATGGACCAGGGGGATGAGAAAATGACAACGTAGGGATTTACTGCTCAAGCAATCCTTAAATAATCAATGTTACACTTCGTTTTTTGTACTTCAAAATGTTCTTGTGGCATAAATTTAATTGACTCTTAGTTGTTATAATAGTGTGGTAGAATGAACAATTTGTAACATGCTTTGGAGTGAATCAATTTATCAGAGATGGTTCACCAAAATTTAATAATTTTTGTTCAAACTCTGTAATAATATTTTATTTTTATGAACACAATAACCAACAATTTATTCAAACAAAGTGTCAAATCATAATTAAGGTAAACAATCATTCTTTCTTCTAAATGATATGTAACACAAATACTAATATCAAAGATCACCCTCACCGCTACTGATTCATCATCAACTTCAAAGCAAAAAAAAGAAAACTCGAAGAGAAGGGCTGGTCCACAAGGATCTAATAAAAGCAAACAAAGTTAAATGACAATATCACCAACGATAAGCAGATACAAACACTACAAACTACTGTTATTGGCACCAAGCAGGGTCATCAAAAACTCCCTGTAGTAACCTGATGTATCATTAGCTGTTGCATATTCAAGAGCAGTATCCTTCATTTTGAGATATTCTTCCTTCACTTTGATCATATCAATTTCAGCTCTAGTAACAATGGCTCTACTCAGAGAATCCTCATTAGTTCCTAGTCCATCAGTGGAGACCTTTACGACCTGATAGCGGAGGAGAAATAAGGATGCATGAAGATACTTGTTCGATATCAAGTGAAAGTGTTCCAAAAGATAATTACTTGCACCAGACAACATCTCTACACCAAAATAGAAGGATTCTTCTACAGCGAAAAATGTACAAAGTCTAATCTTTTAAGACTATTTTTATTACCTCAGCAAAATGCTTCTCTGGGGAGTTTATGCACCAGATAACCACTTTCAACATAGATTCCAAAAGACCTTCGCCACAATTCGTTATATCCTGTAATGGAAAGTTGATCCAACAAGATAAGATTAATAGAGGAGCAAGAATAGTTAAATCTGGTGGCTTAAAGATCACTGACCCGATCAATGGATAATCCATAGTTTTGCTTATAGCACTCGAAAGTTGCCTTAAGCTAATGAATGTTCCTAGTGCTTAGTATCATAACAAGTTCATCACTATCTAATTGTTTTGTTCTAGTGGCTTCACGTAGCTTCGAAGCCTCTAAATTAGCAGTATTATGATCGACTAGTTCTTTGTTGTATCTGTAGGAACTGACTAAACTGAGTAGAACCTGCACAACACGCTCCGAGCTTAGTAGTAGCAACTTCAATGCTAATAAACAATTATTACGTTGTAAAAATGGAGCTTTTTTCGCAAAATAATTTGACATAGGCTAACAATAAGGGTATGTATGACAACAAAGTATAACAGGGGATAAACCTAAGACAACTCATATAGTAAAGAGGTAAATTTGGATCTTTTTCATTTTATAAAGAACATCTTCATCTTCAATTAATAGTGTCCGACTGTAAACAAGGTAATACATTCACCTTTTGGACAGGAAGAGAAACACGAGCTATGATATCCTCTTCAAGTGAACAGCTAAAGAGAGCACAATATGTTTGTCTCACAGCAACCAGATGATCAGGAGTTGATGCACAGGCGATCTCGACTATCACTTGTAAACAGTTAACGTCATGTATCCATGACTGTAAAACCTCATTCGCTAGTCTCGCATCCCTTTCAGGAGGATCATATGTCCAGAGGATCACTGCTTTCTATTATGCATCAAACATGAAACTCGTAAAAGTCAAAACTTCTTTAGGAATTTTTTTTTAAAAAAAAGAGAATACCTTGAAATCACCAGATAATTCAGAATGAAGATCATCCATTAGAGATTTGTTATATAGCTGCTGATATGCTTCTTTAATCTTCTTCCTCTGGCTTGCATCTCTATGTCCTAAAACCGTTATTATCGCCTTCTCATCAGTTCCCAGTCCTAAAAAATACACCAAAAAAAAAAGGATGTTTACCCATTATGTCAGAGCAACACAATCAGAGGCAAATCCAGAATTTGAACCTGGATCTAGAAGTGGTACCTCTAGCTTCTACCAATTGCACAAGAGCATTTCTATGTTTTTTATGGTTGCACTGTTAACTATATCTTAATTTCTATCAGTTTTTCAAAATAGATATATACATATCATTATTTTGCATATGCACCCTCCTCGTATAGAGTGGGTCCGCCCCTGAACACAATACTTGAAATTCATCATTGTATACTTGTTCAAATGAATTTAGTATTTTCGACTAGGTAAAGTTGAACCATTGATGAATTTAAATTCTAAATACACCTAGACGACTTCAATAAAACATAAAGGTATTGACAAAAGAAAGAAAAAAAAAAGGTGTACCGAGAAAATGTTGTTTGAAGGACTTTCTGAGTGTTTCAGCATCTTGGATTGGAGAAGGAACAAAATCTGGTATTAAGAGACTGCCCATTTCTTGTTTAGCTTTCTTTAGATTAAATCACAAAAAATGAAGTGAAAATTAGCAAGTTGTTTATTATAGGAAGATCATTTTAATTAATACTAATAAATAAGAATTTCGGTTTTGATTTCATTTTCAGTTTCAGTTTTATTTGTTTTTTCAATTTCTCTCCACTTGTGTTCCTCATGGTACAGGTAACCGGTAGTTTGCAATTTGATTTCTACTGTTTGCCCTCCTTATTTCCTTGGACCTTTATGCCCTTATTTAGCTTTTATTACCTTCTAAAATAAAAGTAAAAAAATAGGACCACCATTTTAATTTTTATCTCTATTTCTTAAAATAATAATTTGAGAAATAATCCTTTCGATTACTATTACATTTGAGTCTGATATTTATTTATACATTACTCAATTTCAAAAATAAAATATTAAATATCATCAAACAGGTTGTGGGTGCTCGTAAAAAATATGTATTAACAATGAGATTTGAACCTTGGTCAATACTAAAAGAGTTTTATATATCCATTCTAGAACCATTGAGCCAACTATATGATTTATTCATTGGGTGCTTTATGTTAATTTTATATAAATATCGATTAATTTTTACATAGATACATATATTTTGTAATGAAGTTAATGGGTGCTCGAGCACCCGGCGGATACCATGTGGGTCCACCCCTGTCTCAACTACTAAATGTAATTATACACGTGATATTTATATATAAAAGAAAATGACAGATGTCGAGAGATTTTAATTTTATTTTTTATAATTTTGAACTCATTCTCACTATGAGAAATGTGTTATAATGATCACCTTTTAGTAGTGAGATTAATTTCGATTGTTACAAAGGATACTTATACTGATCCAATTTTTTTGCATTGTTAAAATCAAATTTTCGTAAATTAATAATGAAGACTTAAACCTTAAAATGTACAATTTCTTATTAACATAAAACACATTTAAATCATTTTAAGTGACCTTGTTACATTTTATCCTCAATAAATACTAACCAACTACTTATATACCTACTATATCTTTTGAAAAATGTGATCGTTTAAATTTTATCTAATTTTATACAAGTGAATATTTAATATATTTAATATCTACCTTCACAACACCCGTCTTTTTATTTTATAAATATGTTGGACTTCACTATCAACATTTACTACCATCTTTATATAGACATTAATATTAGCCTACTTTAATTATTCAGTTAAATGACTAAATGAGACAGAAAACACGTTACAACTTACAACACCTTTATTAGACAAAAAATAAATTTTCATCAATTAATTGACTGAAAATATTAAGATCAATGTCTAATCTCTTGCTTAATTAAGTTAAAAATGTTACTTGTAATATATATTCTAACATATGTTTGTGCTAAGATTAATTTGCGTGTATGATTTGATCCTTTTATGAACCTTTCATCAAAATATATTAAAGAGTATTTTTATATGGATCAAAATATGTTATTTGTTTCATATTAATTTTCTATCCTTTGTAATTTTTACAAATAGTTATCATAAGGTTAAATTTATAAAATCAAAATAGAATTTATCTTTTATACCTTATATTTAATTCTTATTTTTTTAGAGTGTAAATATGCTTATAAAGTTTTATAAATGTTATTTAATGAGTAAATTAATAAAACTATGTTTGTACATGATTCAAAGCCAATAAACAGAAAATTGAAAATCAATCAAAGTAACAGGGAGTCAAAAGTTAAAACAATTGATTTTTGCAATGAAATGGAAAAAATGATCCTCTCATTTTTGCATTTGATTATTGTGGAAGATCGTAATTCGTATAGGAACATAAATATCATTTTTGTTTTTTTGGCGTATTTTTGTCTATGTAATTTGTTATTATTTGTTAAATATATCAAATATTTTTATATTAGTTTTTTTAGTATATAGACCAAATTTCATTATTTGAGATCTTTTGCATAATTTAAAAATTTTATATTAAATTTTTACCTTTTACAAAAACATCTTTGAATTGTATTATGTAATTTTTAATGTGAATATCAAAATAGTGATAAATTATTTCGTGAATATTTAGTGATTATATAGTTATTGATAAAATAATGAATAATCGACTAACGTAACAAAGTCATGTGTCACTCAAAACTGTCTGATCTCATAGACACTAGTTGTTATTTGTTACAACCAATATACAATTGATTTGTAATACAAACTTATGATTAATTTTGAGTTTTTAAAATCTATGAGTATAAATTATTTTTTTTTTTAAAAAAGAAAAATATATTTCTTAAATACTATCCTAACTAAATTTCACTAAACCAATATTTACCAACAATATTTGAAAATCAATATGTGAAATACCAGAATACTAAGAGCTTTGAATCACAGGTCACAGTGAAATTGAATGGAATTTCATACTTGTTCCTGAAAGCTTTGAACTTTGGGAATATTCAATTGTTGGAATGAAGCAAATTTTTAATCTGGAATCCACTACCGGCCGGCAGCAACAATTTTTGGGTTTTCTGCTAATGGAGAATGTATTTAAGCAAGGAGCGGTGAGCTTCTTATACAGAATGGTGAAATCGGAAAAGTAAGGAACTTTTGCAATTTTGTTTGATGTGATTGTTGTATTCCATCGTTGTGCCGTGTTTATGTAGCCGGAGTAGTATCTCATGAAGCATATTAATGGTAGCTTCCTCGTTACATATCAAAAAGGGCGTTCTGCATTGCTTTTTTGAAAGTTGATTTAAATGCATCAGGTGAATGCAATAACTTTACTTCATTTGCCATATTGTTTTTTGACTATTTTGTTCACGTAGTGTTCATCAACAACATAGGTAACTCAGTTTTTGTCTCAGTTGAGATTTGAACAGGAGACCTCACGACTCTCAACTGACCACTAGGTCATACCATTGGCTGCTTTGCTCAAACTCATCTAACCGAAATTAGAAGAACTGAACTTGACAGACTCATGTAGTTGTTACTCATTCATGCGTTATAAATAAGCACTGATATCTGTGCTTGTTGGTGCACTATTTGTTAGAATACTGGAAGATACTTTTGATATTTCTAGCAGCTTATACATTTTACCCTTTTAGTTGTAGGTTCTTACATGAGTTATTGAAATAAATTACAAATAAGCATTGGTAGATAATGTGTAGTGTACATGAGTCTAGGAATTTTTTTAAATTTTGAGTGGAACATGTTAATGCCTGTGAATGTGATGATTGTTTCTGATAAATCATGAATGCCAATGTAACTTGTTAGATTATTTATGTGCCATTAGTTCGAATGGGAAACTGAAATTACTCATTTCTGGGATCTCTGTATGGGATGAGATTTAGTTATGTTGTTAGTAGGGAATGAAATAATGTAAAAAGATAGCAAACAATAATAGGAAACAGAAGGAAAAAACCTCTTTCTTTCTATTGAAACTTGGATGTGTTTTTCTTTACTACACTCTCTCAACATATAATACAACCGGTCTTCACAATACAATATTTGTAGAATCATCACTTGGGTGACAAAAATAAATATGAAACACGAAACCAAAAGGATTTACATTTTTGAGAACTCATCACTCTCTATCTTACCAATCAACAAAAGAAAGAATTTCAATCAATCAAATCCTATAACTATCATTCTCTTTCTGTGTAAAATCAAAAGAAAATGTTCAAAACTCTTATGCTGCTGCCTGCAGCAGGAATTGAAAATCTGATCTTTGACGAAGGAGGGGAGGTGGTTCTACATCAGACAAGTTGATACTCTGGAAGGATCGCGATATTTCTTCTATAGAGAATGGTATGCTGTAATTGGAAGAATAGTTAGTTAAAGAATGCATGTCTATTTCTTCTCTGTGTTTAAAGTTGATTACCTTGAATCCACATCAAGCAAGAATGTATTGTTTGGAATGCTGGCTGAGTCTTCCAATGTTAGTGCTCTCATCTTGCCAATGACCTGAAATTCCAAAAATGATCAGCTGTTGATCTACTGAAGAAAGAAGCAGTTCTCGTTGTCATTGCCGTACTTTTAAGGCTAAAGACGTAAAGGTGCTAAATATGTTTCCTTTTATCTAGGGAGCTATGATGAATCTTTTGCAACATTGAGAGAATCCTGTGCTATCCACGGCCTTTGGATGTTTATTAAATCATTAAAGTTGTTGAAACATTAAGGAGGTAAGCTCTTTCACTGCTTGGCGTGAGAATAACGCAAGAGTGCTTCAGTAGAAAGCATTTTTCTAGTGTATGTGTCAAGCTAGAGCACTCTTTGCCTCTCTGTTGGAGAAGGTGATAAGATCTCTCTCTAGCAGAGCTTAGACACACTTTAAGAAGATTGGTGGACTGTTTTTATTTAATGTGTGCTTTATCTATATTTTGCTATTTGAGGGCCTCTTGTATTTTTGTTCTTCACTAATAATTTTCTTATAATAAGAGAAGAAGTCTTCTTTCCAAAAAAAAGAAGAAGTGAAGAAGGCTTATGCATGTGTTGATTCTTAGTTTTTTACTTTTACATGATAATATATGCATGTGTTGCAGCGGACCATTGGCATCAAACTGACAAAACCTTGAACACCTTTACCAACTCTCATGAAGGTTAGAGTATCTCTAGTAACACACTGAAGAAGAGTTATTACCTCTGGTGATAAACCATGGGCTCCATATTTGTCGTCCCAGAACATAGTTCCAATGCGATAAATTTGTGCAATGCTCAACATCTAAGAGAAAAGGAAAAAAGCAACAGGATATAGAGTTCAGTTTTTGGTTCTGAGTTCTAATCATAGCTAGAATCCTCTTATTAAAAATCTAATCATAGCTAGAAACGTCTTATTAAAAAAATCATACTTATATTCCTCTATGTCTAAATTTGAATATCATTGTCACTTAGCCTCTTAGTTATCTTGAAATGAAGAGTGAGTTCTTTTTCCTTTTAAAATGCCAAAAGAAAAAGTAGTTAGGAGGGAAGTTGTGGGGACTTTGATCTTTTTCTTTTAAAAACAGAAGTTAATTACCGGGCAGAGGTCACTTGTGATCTCATCCAATGCCTTTTGAGATTTTTGATGTAGCACCTGCAAGGTTGAGGCATGATAATGTAAGCACTCAGCTATGAGGAGATCTGCTTACAGAATGATACTCTGGATGAT